GCATGGGCCTCCTCCTTTAGTACCCATCTGCTCTGCTTCAAATGAGATTCTAAGGTTCATCACATTGAAGTGAAACTGCAGGGATGAAGCATGTTTCTGTCTCCAGAAACTGGACCAGAATCCAAAAGGTGGCTGCAGAAAATGTTGCTGCTACCATGATGCATATCCATTGAACATTTTACTGGTAGGGAAATCATCAGCAGTGCCACAGATGCTCAGTGCCTCAGTTTCCAGACGTTTCAAGTGTCAGTTTCCAGCAAGCTGAAATGGTCTGCAGTTTAACAGGCTTCGTGGCCTTTGCCATGGAGTGACAGAAGATCTGGAAACATCCCAAGCCTAGTTAGGCAAACTGCTCATCTAGGTATGTTGTCAGTGGTCTCCAAAAGGGGAACTACATTTAACTGAAGCAAGCCTTTTGTTATTAGCAAGGGTTGAGGAAAAGTCCCCTCTTAGGATGCTTTGGAATGCTGAGTCCTGAAGAATTCCAAGGTGTGGAATGACCAACTGCACATCTAAGTTAGTCTTTATCCTGATGAATAACATAGGAACCAGCATGTGTGGCAATAATACCATTTATCTTTAAAAAACCTGTAGCCATTAGAGATCAGATACTCATCCAGTGTGTTATGCACAGAAGTCACAACTAAGTGACAAGCTGCTGTCCAAGGCATTGAGATGAACAAGTGCATAGGGGAAAAGACATGCAGAGCATAATTTTTAAAAGATCATTCACCTTGTTAGTGTAGCTGAACTGGTAAATTTAATTCTCAGCAAATCATGAGGCAGGTCACACAGCTCCTCCAAAGCAGAAGGCTTTGTGCCTTGAAGTCATAGCAGTTTCTTGTCCATTAACTGAAGAGTCAAAAATGAACATACATACATGCACATGTATGTGTACGCTCACCTGCATGCACTATGTTTATGGGGAGAGAGGGAGAGAGAGTAGGGGGGAGAGCACGAGTAAGCTGACAGATGCCTCTTGTACCCTGGGAGAGGAGAAACACAAAAGCAAATACTGTGCATCTCCTGCATGCACGCCTATTTTATTTGGATATATGAAAGAAGGAAAGAAACCCCAAACAACAAACCACTGGATGGATTGGTGTCCCATATGATTTATGAACTACTAAATTTAGTAAAGTAATTTTACTCTTGCTGGTGTATTGCAGGTTCTTGTGCAAGAGTCAGTAAGAAAAAAAAAAAAGTAAGTTACTTTCTCTGTGAGAGGATGTACAAGTAGCATAAAATAGGTTCAATTAATCTTTTCGTCTACTGAATTTACTCTGGATAAACAAAGCATTTATCAGATTGTATGTCTTAGAAAGATAATCAGCCTTATAAACTGCTTCACAGTTCTGCTTTTCTCATTATTGTATTTCAGATAGTTTTCTGAATGGGAAAATTGTTCAAGCAAAATGTTAAATACCATTCCTCTGTCATTTTTTTGCATAGATCTGGCAGCATCCTTCTGAATCTCAAGATATGTAGTCATTATAAAGCTTGTATTGAACTGTTCATCTTTTTTTGCTCTTTTTATCAGGTAGTCTTCTTTTGTGGCGGGTAATTTCCAGAACTCCTGCTTCACTTGCTATAGGAATCACACAGATGATTAAATACAGAGGATCTCAAGCTAGTGATTGAGCTGTGTTCAGGTAACATGTACAGGCAACCTCTACTGCTTTACCTGTAGCTATAGATGTTCTGTCATGACAAAAACCTGTGCTCTAAACCACATCACCAAGATCATTACAGAAGAAACCTGTAATTTTAGGCTGAGGCATTGATGAGTGGAAACAGATTTTATCAATCCCTTTATATTGTTCATTTTTTCAAGAAGGAAAAAGGAAATTTCTACATTTCTCATAGTAACTTAATGCAGAGATAACTCAGTAGGATTCTTTGACTTTTGCTATGAATAATGTCATAGTAAACAATTGGATTAAATACTCCCAAGTTAAAAAAAAAAAAAAGAAAGGGAATAAAAAAGGGGAAAAAATAAAATAAACTGCTGTCTTTTAGCACAGGCCTATTGATTGCTACAGAGCAGTGTTGGAAGACAGTGTACAGTCAGAAATCAGCCTTGTGCAGGAAACAGCCAGCAGTGCAATGAAGATTGCCAAATTGCTGTCACAGAATACCCCTACCATGTCCCACAGGCCAAACAGGTGAATGATCTCACCTCCTGCACAGCACTAAGCAGATGTGTTGAAGTAGTATGCAGTACATTATCTGTGTTGTAACCATAGCTGCCAGAGATACTTTCTTATAAGAATGCCTTGTTGTCACCAATTAGAGAGTATAATGGTCAGTTCCAGTTCCATCATAACTGAAGCTCATAAATAATAAATTTTGTCAATGATTAGTAACATCTCTACCAAATGGCTAACAGCCATAGTGCTGGCATTTTTCTTCTGATCTTTCTTCTCCTCTTTATTAATCCTTTTCTCCTTTTAGCACCTTTTCCATTTGTTCTGCAGGTTCCCTGAACATCTCAGATATTTGATCAGAAAGGGCAATATGGGCAGAGTATGAATCTTGTGAAGTTAATGTCAGGGCCGTTAGGGCATTGCAATCTAGCCTTCTTCCCAGTTCTTGTCTGCCTACACTGATGTCCAGCTCTGGCACTGCACAGCCATTAGCCTGAGATTGTAGTGTTGGGGTGCCAGGGCTTCTCCATCACTTGTGGGCTGTGCGTCAGCTCAGCCCCACTGGTTTGTCCTTGTGCCCAGACTCCCAGTCCTCAGCCAAGCAACCAGCTATTGGCACTTGCTAGTATTTGGTGGAGGTACAAACTGGTTCAGTTTCCTGTTACCTTAAGCTTTGTGCTGCATGCCTTGAGTCTAGTTGTGTGCTGCCCTGTTTCCACATCTTGAAATATGACATTGCCAGTACCGCTTAGCAGTGATCTAACAGGAGAATCTGGAAAATTGTCAGAACAACTTTGTGTCAGCCCTGCCATGCTTTCAGGTTGACTAAAAAGGACAGGGAAGTAAATGTCTCTGCAATGGTGAACTTTCCTGCACAGTTTCTCTTCCCTGTTTTTCCATGGTCTTTCTTACTTTAACTTAAATTTATCCATGCTATGGCTCATTCACTTCTGAATGTACTTTTGCTCCATCTGCTCAGGCAGTTTGCTTTCCTTTTATTTATATTGAAGTACATAGATGTATCAGAAATACAGCTTTAATTGCTCTGCAACTCTCAGATTCTCTATGCATAAAAAGAGGGAGAGGGACCTTTTTATTTGAGCAGATCATAACAGGACAAGGGGCAATGGTTTTAACTGAGAGAGAGCTGTTTAATTTAGATATTATGGGGAAATTCTTTACTCAGATGGTGATGAGGCACTGTAACAGGTTGCCCAAAGAAGCTGTGTATATGCCATCCCTGAAAGTGGTTAAGGCCAGGTTAGATGGGGCCCTTAACAACCTGATCTAGTGAATGCCATTCCTGCCCATGTCAGGGGCATTGGAAGTAGGTGATCTTCAAGCACAAACCATTCTATGAAACTGAAGATTCAGAGTGAAGTTGAGAATAAGCAAAGTAATAATATCCCAACTGGTTATAATTTCTTTTTCATAATAGGATCCAAAGTGATATTTCTCAAGATTAAACTTTGCTAATATCTGTAGGCATTTGCTTTGCACGAGCTGTTTTTTGTAGGGGACTAAACAAATCAAATTTTCAGTCTTTTTTCTAAAGACAACTTTAAATCCAAATTTCATTCCTGATTAATAGAATTTCTCAAGAAGTATGCTATTTTCATACATGTATACACACTGGAAATATTGTAGAGATGAAGAAATTACCTTTTTTCCAGGAGAAGAGACACAAATGAGGATAGGGTAAGTAATTTTTCAGCCATCTGTCTTCTCAAAACACTCAAACAACATTCATACCTTGAGTTAAACCCCACAGCATCATACCTTCTAGACGTGAAAATAAGAAAGCATGGACAAAATTTGGCCAATATTCTCTGTCTGACTCTAACTCTATACAATACTATGCATACAAGCAACATTTAGGTTTCTTCTGAAGATCTGTTGAAGTGGAAACTCCTTTGGCAGCCTTGCAGCTTTTATGGCTCCAGGGTAAGTCTTGTGAAAAATGTAGCATATAGAAGAGAATCAGAAAACTTCATAATGTTAACAGGACATTTGAACAGCAGTATAACTTTTGAGCTGAATCTTTTTTTTTTTTTTTGTGAAACAACTGCTTCTTTGAATTTTCACTGAATGCCATATAAGTGAGCATTTGCATGTATAAGGTTATATCAGACATAGTGAAATAGACTTACAGACTTTCTGATGAAGTCTATCAGATTTACTAGTGAATTATTTTATTTCTGCAGACTTTGTGAACTATCTTATAGAATGGCATTTCTGTATATACAGAGTTTGTGAGCAGCTTAATACACAGGAATAAAAATGAAATATATTCTAAATGTCCTTCAGGTACTTCTTTTAAAGTCAAGACAGAGAGTTAGTTTTCCTAAGACATGAGTTAGAGTGGAGACAATTCTAGATAAGCCACTCCTGAATTAGATCTTATGGGAATGTTAGGAATATTTGTTTTATTTTAGCACATTTTAGAGATCTCAAAAATGCATTATTTTTCTAATTTTCTCTTCTGGACTCTTGACTCCAGACTCCCTGTCATATTAATGAGAAAAACTCAAAATTTTAATGACAGCTGTTACTGTGACCTGAAAAGAGCTTTGTGCAAGGTGGAAGTACTGAGGGTGCTGTCAGCCTTCCTGGGGCATGAATATAAGAGCCAGTGGTACCCTGTGCATCATTAGAAATATCAACACTTGTCTTCATCTACAGAAAGATGAAGAACTACAGAAAGACCCAACAACTTTTGGTGTTCTCTACTGAATGTGGGAAGTACATTAGGTCAGACAATTATTTTCCCTCTCTTTGTCTGCCTGAGCTGGGCTTTTGCCTGGCTTCGGGGTCCAGGAAAAAAAAAAAAAAAAGAGCATGCAGAGAACCTTAAACCCTTTGGTTGCATCTTTTAATAGCACTTTATGATTTCTTCCTGTTGTATTTCTTTTAAGTTTAGGATTAGAAAAGGATATTGAAAGGCCATTTTCTTGAATTGTGGAATTTCACTGAATTTTTGGAAGGAATTTTCTTCTCTTGAAGTATCTTGTGTGATGTTTACACAGCACAAGATTAAAATGTTTCCTCTATCCTCACACTTCCTTCTTCTGGATGAAAACAGACATAATTGTTTGACTATCTTTATATGCAGCTTTTATTTCTATCTCTTTTTCTTAAGTCTTCTCATATTTCCTGGTTCCAGTACAGCCTCTGTATGACTAATTGATCCATCTTCATTAGGCTGTCATCTGAGTAAATGATTGTCACAATGTATAAATACAGTGTTTACTGAAAAAATAGGATTTTAAGTATTGTGCACTTTCAATTTATAATTATGGTTTTTTGTTATGAACTGTACTAATCTTTAATCTGTTTCATTGCTGTTTCATAAAAAACAGATCTGTGAGTTTACCTCCAGTACTGTTTGGACCTCCTTGCTTCAGTCTCTGGCTATTATTAGTGCACTATCTCACTACTCAAGTATGTGGCTAGTGAATTCTGGAAAATTTGTTGTCTGGGATATTGTTGATATCTTTCAAATACACTCTGCATGCTTTTGACTGTACTGGTTTGCACACTTCCAGATTTTTTTTAGAAGTATTTTGAGTTTTGGCTAAGATCTTCATGGTTATGGACTAATTTCTGATGGATTTGGCCTTTGAGGTGCTGAAGTCATGAGCAGAGCCAGCCAGAGGCTGCCTGAAAGTTCCAGAAACTTCTTACTGGCAAATCTGTTTCCCAGCAAGAAATTTCCAGGTTAGTGGTTTCCATACATTTGAGCAAAATAGTGCTTTTTTGCATGGTCTATGTCTGTCTGAGCACTTCACCTATGCAGTGATAGCTGAAGTACCTCTTTTTTTGCCAACGGAGTATGTATCTAATACTGGCTTTTTTCCCCCAGCCTATCCACACCTCCACTGGGAGTGTTTATACTGTGCTCTCAAGCACATGCTGTTACTCTTGGGGTGTCCTGTGCAAGGCCAGATGTTGGATTTGATGATCCTGGAGTGTCCCTTCCAACTCAGGGTATTCTATGACTCTCTGACTCCAAACCCACACCTCACAGTACAGGAAATGAGAACAGTGATCTGATTTCTTGGCCAAGCCCTGACAGACTGCCTTCAGAAGGAGAAGCTGGGAAACTGATTTTTAAGAGTGACTCAGTAGCATCATCTGCAGCCCACCCCTGACTCAAAACTACCAATCAACCTGTACTGAATCAGGAAGAAATCTACATCCCAAATTTCCTGCATGTAAGTAAGTTCATGTCTCCTCCGCAACCTTGTGTGGATGATAAAGCTATGATTTGCCTCTATCCCCAAAACTGCAACACTACTTACATTGCAGCTTTAAGGAGTTTTTAATTATTTTGAAAATGGTCTTTCTAGTTCTGATCACTCTTAAAAATGTTGCCAAGCAAGAGTATAATCTATTAAAAAGTCAGTCCACCAGCCTTTGTTGCTCAGCCTTTGCTACCAATCTGTTACGCTTGTCATAATAAGTTGACAGATTGTTACAATAAATGGCACAAATTTAGGGTGTTGTTTTGTTTAGCCTTTGTATGAAACACAGTTTAGTAGAGAAATATAAAGTATAGCAAATGAATTCTGAAAGAGAGTAGTTAAAAATTGTTAGAATAATATTTTCTACTATTTTTTGTTTACTTGGGGGACTGCAAATTACTGCAAGTGGTTGTGACTACTGAGGAAGTAAATATTGATAAGGAACTTATTGCCTGAAAGCAAACTAGGAATGTGAATATTTCATTTACTTACTCAAATTACTTAATTGGTAATTACTACTCATAAGCAAGTTCAGATAGTGCAGCCTGCCCAATATTCAGCCCATAAGAGGAAGCAAAGCTGTTCTTTTCCAAGAAATGAAAATGCCCAGACACTGGTATATTTTTTAATAGATATTCCTGTTCGGTCTGATTCTCCACAGAGATCTGATATTTTTCTTTCCCTTCTTTTTTTTCATCCTGGAGAAATCTCTGGGCAGAGATGTAACTTTGTTGTCACTCCTCTTACAGACACTAATGCGTCAATGGCCCTTTAAAAGTTGTGCTACCATGTATCCAACCATATGTGTCAACCGACTCCACTGCCATCTCTTGGGAATTTTGACTCGTGGCATAGTTAAAACCAAACCAGGTGCTCAGGACTCCGAGGCTTCCCCAGTACCTCCCAAGAAAATCTTTGTCACCTCCAGACTTACTGGGGTTTCACCAGATGAGCCATCACAGGGGCTCATCTGGAAATTTCATCTCTGCAAGCTCACCATCGCACTGGTTCCCATCAACCTTAAACGCCGCCCTGAGCTCGTGGTTTGTCTGACTCGCACCGACCTGAGACCACCTGCAGAGCCCTTGGAGAGAGCAGCAGCTGCACAGCTTCAGAGCAGCACACCAAGCTAACAACCCATCAGGTAGGGAAAGAATTTCTATCCTTCCTTTTCCAACGGGTCGTGGAAATTGACCCTTTGAAGTATTTTATGGCAGTGCTCTATCATGGGTAGATCTCAAGTGAGAGTCAGGTTGAAAGTGTCAAGTCTCCTAGGAAGAGGGACCTTAAATGTGAAAATTTTTTTGTTGAATTTTCCTGTCCTTGCTGCAGATTTGGTGGGTGTTCTGGTCATTTTCCAGACAGTCTCTTTGCTGAAGTGTAAGGGCAGGGTGAAAAATACTGCCTGACAAGTGTCAGTGTAGGTGAACTCCCTTCTTCCTTTGAATGAAGCTAAACTTCAGTGACAGGCTATTGCAATGTTTAAGACTGTTTGCCCTGCAAATCAAGCCGTGCCATTAAAATGAGCTCTGTGTGCCCCAGAACAGCTGCAGCTGCAGAATACAGCCTCACCCACAAGGCTGTTTTTAGAATAAATTCACTGTATAATTTCAATGTGTGTGTCTGAAGACCTGGGTTCTCCCTGGGCGAATGCACTTTCTGTGGTCTTTTGTGATGAGAAACCCAAAGTAGCCAAATCCAAAAGCAGCTGGGAGATAGGAAAGGCTGTGATTTTGATTATTCCTTTGGAACAGAGGGGGAAAACCTAGCAGTTGGGTTAAAGACCAATAGTGACCCAGCCTTCCCTTTGTTTCCTTTTTGCTTCCGTCACTGCTGCACAGCTTCCTTATGCCAGAACCTCACTGCTGCTTCACCGGAGGATTCAGAGCTGCCTACAGGCCTTTCCAGGAGAAGTCCAGGTCCTCAAGAGCATGACGCTTTCTGAGCACCTCCCAAGCAAGTGTTTCTTTCTACAAGAAGATCATCTGAGTGGCTTGGGGTGCTGATGTTCATTGAATAGGAAGTACTCAGCACTATAATGTTGTTCTTACTATTCAGCACAGACTCATATTTTAGTATATTACTCACACTTTATTCTGAATGCTGATCCTGAGATCAGCTCAGCCTGTTAGATCCTGCTGCTAAAAACATCAAGGTTGTGGGTACAGTCCCTGTATGGGCCAAAAGTGGAATTTGATGATCCTTATAGGTCCCTTCCAACATAATATTCTGTGATGCTGTGGCCTACTAATTTCTGTGTGAAACTCAGGTGTTTGTCACCCACTACATTGTCTTAATGTGCTCCTACAAACACTCCACAATGTAAAGGAGCATCATGATTGCTTTGCTTTTACTGATGATAAATGAAAGCATGGAAGTCAAACGTTGTGATGACAAACTTTTTCAAGTCAGTATAATGTGATTTTTTAAGTTTTCAGGACAGAATTTCAAGTTACTGAAGTTTAATTGTGAAATCTCAACATGTATGTGAACTGGGATGCTCAGGGTTAGAAGTAACATGCAAATAATTCATGAAAGTTTTGGCTTGGAGCTCTGGGTTTTGGGTCATTCTGTTTGGTTTGTTTGCAGGAGTTTGTCTAGACTGACCTATAAAAATTTCAGTAAGACTTTGTGCAATGAAAATTAAATTCTCAAGGATATGTTTCATGTGTTTTAATTTTAAGGTCTTTCTTCTCTACATCAGTCATCAAATACTCCTGTCTATATATCATTCAATCTCCACAAACCTTTGAAAGCTTTGATCTCATATTCCAAATGTTTATTACAATTTTCTTGATAACATCACTACTGTTCAAGCATACTGACTGTTCAAAATATAGTAGGAAAAGCACTCTGTCGATTTACTTACACATAAAGATGTGCTATATCTTGGTGGAAACTGCAGTATTCCCAAATCATCTTTTAAGACTGCTTAGGAGTAATTCACCTACCCCCTTATGCTACTTTACAGCATAAATCTCTATGTTGCATGTTAGAAACTATGAAATTAACAGTTCCCCTGCATTTGTCTCCTAGCCTCAAACTATTTCAAAGGCATGTATGCAAACAGACTGAATTCATTAATTATACTCCAACCCTTGAGGGCATGATCACAGTGAACAGCACTCCTGCTGCCAGAGGAAAATATTTCAATGTGGAATGATTGCAAGGGACCCCCAGACCTTGCAGATTCTGTTCTTATGCTCAAGTCAAATCAAGGGGCACCTTTCAAGGATCCAACTGCTTTTTAAAGAAAACAATCTGCTTTGGAAAAATTGTTTCAAAGCAGAAATGTGTTGTGTGTTTCTGTCCTTTGTCTTCTATCCCTAGAGCTTATCCTGGAAGTTGAAAGAAGTTTCCTAAATTAAAAAAAAATATATTCATAATTAAGCTCTCTTCTCACAATTTTTTTCTCTTCTGCAGTAAATGGAAACTGGACAAGTTTTATTCCACACATAAGGAGGATTCTATGGCCTTCTCCCATACTCTTGTAGTATTTTTTCTTGGACAATCTATTCCAGTTACTGGGATTTTCTGCTGATTTTTTTGGGGAGCTTGGTTTGGTTTGTGTTTCAGTTCTTTCAAAGAACTGAAGCCAACTAGTTTTTAGCTTTTGTACTTTGATTTCTGTTACTGCCCTGGCTGAGTTCATCTTTACCACAGGCAGATGTTCTCAGACTGTGTCTTACAAGTGTTCTCAGAAAGTTGTCAGGCACATTTACATATTTATCTAGTAACAGGTGTAATATCACCTAGAGTTTTTTCATGTAACATGTCCCAGTTCCCTACTTGATCATAAAAGTTAAGTCCTGCTTGCCTCACAGGATATAAAATTGTTCTCTGGAAACAAACTTTTCTTTTGTGTCAGTGAATTCCCATAGTATTACTAAAACTACTGTTCTGTCAGGATACTGGAAAATGCACGGCTGATATTAAAACAAAAACAAAACGCAACCAACTAAAACCCTAAACAAACAAACAAAAATGTTAAAAACTCAGTACATTACACACTACATTAAGCCTGAGGAATTCTTGTTTAATTTAAGAGTAACCTTATGACAGTTGTATTGGAGTTCCTGTTTTTCTTCCATACTAGGCAAACTCTGCTAAGGTTTGCAAATATAAGTACTAATGTAAGGTTTTTGCACCCTGTAGGTAAAGATGTGTCTCTCTTTGGCTAATTGGCCTAATGTATTTTTTTCTGGAAAACAGCATAGAGCTCTATGTGTTTATACACTACAGTTTCATGAACTGTATATAACTGGTTACTGTATATTCTCAAATCTTATCTACAGTTCCAGGCACTATCTATCTTCAGAAATGGACCAAACCCACTATCTGCCAAGTTGTAGCTGTTTTGTAGCAAATGTTTCCTGAAAACCTGCAATATCACTTACTACTTATATTTGCAGGGTCAAATATTATTTAATTTTTCTATTCTTTTTATTATTATTTTTGCATGACTTAGTGCACTACTGAGTGCAGTATGCAGTAATTATTCAGAAATAAGGTTTATGCAGTTCTGTTACAGACACTTCTAAGGTACCAAAAGCAAGCTTTCACACCTCAGTTGCCGGTGATCTGCAGCTCTACTGCAGCAGCAGTCAAGGAATCAGCCTGCAAACACTCAACAAGGAGCACAAACTGCTCCTGAGGAGAGCACTGCCTCCCTAGAAAGCAAGACAATGGAGCTGCTAATATTCAATGTCTTTGATTTTTCAGTACCTTCTAATTGAGTACTGTGCTACCCAATAAAGAGATAGAACACATGCTGTGAACACTGACAGGCCTTTTTCTGTCTCAGATGTTGTGGCACCTGCAGTTTTAAAAGCACTTGAATATCATGATCAAGATTAATTTGACTGGTGCTTCATAAATGCAAGGGAATGACTCCTTCATATATTTGCAACAAATTGTAGCTCTCCTGTTTTGGAATCCAACTTTTCATCTTCACTTTCTTGTGATATCTTTAAACTCCATTCCAAAAAACTAGCATAAAAATTGAGTTTTAAAGTCACTTTATTGAATGGTCTGTTGTTACAGTACTAATTTGGGAAAAGTATTTGAAATTATTATGTAGCAAAACAGACACTGCACAGAATAATGAAATAATATAACACAGATGCAAGTCATTGGCAGATCAGTTCAGAGCTACTGAGGCTTGATTGTGGCAAAGAGTGTACAGATGTGCTTCTGCACATGAGCATGGTCCAAAATGATGACATTCACAAACTGAGTTCTCCTGAAGGGGAATGCTTAATTTAGAATGTTTATAGATTTTTGTCAACTTGCTTTCTGAATTTTAAATACAAAATGAAAGCATAGGATCCCATGCAAAAAAATTGGAGGCAGACATTGCATTCTTCCCATTTGGATTGTTTGGAAAATGCACTTAAAGGTTTAATTCCAGTTGCTCCTACAGAGCAGTTATGGGGAGGCTGCTAAAATCTGGGAGCATCACAGGACTAAAGGAATGCTACTGAAATCACAGAAGTCTCATAAGGCTCAAAGGAGAAGGAACTGGAGACACTGCACATCATATTTAAGTCTTCACACCTTCCTAGGCCTGCAGTCTTTGCAAGCCTCTGGGGCTGTCTTGCCTTCCTTGAGGCACACATTGTTTCCCATGGTTGTCCATTCTGGCAGCAGCCCCTGCACTGTCCATGCATGGCCAAATCCCAGATGCTTCTCCTAGCCTGACTTGTCCATACAGCATAAATTCTCATGTCCAGGATAAGAGTCACCCACAAGCACAGCAGTCTGGGCACTGGCTGAAGACCTGTCCATCACAATTCTGACTCAGGAGACTCTCAAGCAGGAGCTTCAAAGCCACTACTTCAGCAAAAATTACAAGGACACTTCTGCATGGGGGAAAGGTGCCCAGCTGGCTAACTTTCAGAGTGGGGCACTTAAGACCTAATGCTGCAGTTCTCTCTTCATCCCTAACCAATATCTCTTACAGACAGGAGGACGCTGCACTGCCCTCATATGGCCTACAGCATTTCACAACAGTTGGATTTACTGCTCAACCCCTGAGTCTAAACACCTGCAGCTCTGGAAATGAAAAGTGATAACTGCTATTTGTCATCTTCTCCTCCTCTTGCTGCTGCAGCATGTCAGGACACAAGCTCCAGTGTGCAATGCCACCACCATGGAGCAGCATGGTGACATTTGAGAACTTCGCCTTGGAACCTGCAGCCAGCCAGTGCCAATTCCTTGGCATTTGCTGTCTGGCAGGACCAAGCCCAGGGAAATGCTTATGGTTAGGAATCATTCTGCTCTAACCCTGACAAGAAAATTTGAACAGGAGCTATCTCCAGGAAAAACATAATCTGCTTCTACCTAGTATGACTCCCTTTGGCTGAAAGACTCAGCTTTTCCTGTCCCTCCAGAATGGGACAGGAAAGCACATTGCAAAGCTGGTCTAGCATCCCTCAAGGAAGAAAAGCATTTACAAACATGCACTGATTACCAAAGTGCCAACAGAATCCACCCACTTTGTTAAAGAGGAGTGCTCCAGTGAAGCTGATGACTTTACCTTTCCGAACAGAGACATACATTTCAAACACACCCCCTTCCTAGATTCATATGCATACACACATTTGTGGATTCCCCAGGAACTAGCATGGACCCTCTTATCTCACATGCACACTCACAAAATATTCTGAGTTGAAAGGGACTCTACAAGGATCATCCTGTAAATCCAGCCTGTAAGTAAATGACCCATACAGGGATAGCACAAACCTTGATATTATTAACATTACGTTCTGATCAAATGAGCTGTTCTCCTCTCAGTATCCCTTCATGGATGTCAGCCTTCTTTTAATCCTGCATCACCTGAGGTACAAGGTGAAGTGTCTGGAAGTTGCAGTTCTGGTATGGCACAAGTGCAGGCCTATAACTGGTGCACAAGGTGGCCCAACCTCTTGACCCCATACTTTCCCAGCAGTGCACCAATGCATGAGGCCTAATAGACTTTCAGGATCTCAGCATCTTCTTGCAACAGTTGATTCCTCTGCATGTTTACAAGCACAGCCCCCCATCCTGTGAACTTACCTAAAGTGACATACTCAAAGTTACAGCACTTAGGTATCTGATTAGGTCAGCCTGGAAATTTTCAGATGTTCCTGTGGTATAGAGTATGCAGCAATATATGTGTTCTTCTTCTGTCTTCTTTTATTTTGTTGAAATCACACCCTAGAGATAGGAAAATTCAAGAATGAGAACAATACTGTACTAGGAAATCTCAGCTGTTTGCACCCTAATTTCTAATAAAACTAAAGTCCATTCCTGATCATCTAATGTATAGAACTATTCAATTGGGGGAAAATGTATTTCAATTACACAAACCATACATTTGTATGGACTGCTAAAAAACCTTTCAAATTCTTTACCTTTTTCTTTGTCAGTATTAGCTGTATTTTCAGATACAGAAACATTTTACAGGTGTAGCCAGTATTAGTTCAGTTTAGAATTAGTTTCTAACTCTCTATTTGAAATTGAAGAGGCTACAGCTCTGTTAATCATAGCAAGAGCAGATACAGAGATATCAAGAATAAAAGCTGAAGCATCACAGGGTAGGCATGCATTTTTCATGCTGCATAGCCCAAAATCAAAAAGCAACACAGGACTCAGTGCAGCCTTTGCTGTGTATATAAAT